GCAGGGCCAAAACTAGTAGAGAACAGCGGGGGAGATGGAAGGGTGAATGTGGCTGGGGGAGTCAGGGGGTGGAGGGCTGCGCTATAGACTTACCCCAAGAGGTCTGAGGATAGGAGTGCAGGCTAGGAGAGTTAGCTGGTGGTGCAGGTCCAGGGAAGCAGAGAGAGGTGAGGGCTGGGCCAGGTCCCGAAGTGGTGCTCCCCAAGAGGCCTGAGGATAGGAGTTCCGGGACAAATATTTTTGTAAAATGAAAAGAACTATTACTAGGATTAAATACATTGTTTAGAGCCTGGCATGAATTAGGTATTCAACTTACATTTTAAGCAACTTCTGGAAGCCATATCAATTAAAGAATAAAATGAATGGAGACAGCTTATATTTAAATTTTTAATCTAACTTGCTGTTTTTCTCTTTGAGTAAATGCTCTAGAGGATTTATGTTGGCTTTCTACTTTCCCGGGGAATATAGGAAGAGAATCAATTTTTCAAAATCATTGCTTCAGTTTTGGATTTTTTTTCATCTTTTAGTAAACAGTATTGCTGTTATTACCAGTAAGAATCTGAGTTGATGCACTATTAGGCAAGTGTTGTCAATTCAGAGCTTTTAGTAAGGAAAAATTAATATATAAGAACAGGTAGGTATTATATTTTAAAGTGTAGGTACAAGTCTAAAGTTTTTAGATAGCATTAATGTAAAAATACTTTTATTTTATAGATTTACCAAAGTATTCATCCTTGATTATTTTTCCTAGAATGCACAAACTTGTGAAACCTTCCACTGAGAAGAAATATGTGGATCTTACTGTGTCATTTGCCCCGGACAGTGATGGAGATGAAGATTTACCAGGCCCTCCAGTAAGATACTACTTCAATCATGACCCTGATGAGTAGAAGTTCTCAGAGAGTTGCTACAAGATACTTGATTTGGGAAAATGTACTTATTTCAGAAGCTAAAATGAATGAGCTCACAAGACTGGATTTCTTTTTGCCTTAATTTAAGGGAAATGTTAGCAGGAAACTACAAAGAAGAATTACAAGCATTTTGGAGCATAGCACACATTTGTCTAGTGCTTTACAATGCTGTGATCACAGCAGCTTTGAACTGGAATACCATTTTTTAATGCTTACTACAGATTTTGTATATTAAGCCCTGTGGGTGGAAAAAAGAAACAAAGCATTTGTCTAAGACCAGAATAAGTAAGGATGAAAAATTGAAAATAGTGAAAGTAACTATCCAAAGAGTTTAAGGTTTTCTTTTCTTTTTTCCCCTGAGTATATGAATCCAACTTTTCAACATAAGTAGTATTTGGCACTCTATACATCTTACATGATTAGGCTTTGAAGTTTTAATACCACTGAAAAAAGGAGGAATGATAAAGATAAAGAATAGAGATTTTAAATTGTATAGTTAGTTTACTATACTATTGTCTCTGCTAGTTTAAACTGAGTCTGTAATATTACTGTGTCCCCCAGAGAGTTTTGTTGGTATTTTCAGTATTGTAAACCATAAGGGCAGATGACACATTTATGTTGACTAAATGTTAACAGTATTATGGACTCTTGACAACTCTCATAGAAAATCCATGAACATGGGCAGACAAATATGGCTGATCATTTGATTTTTAAATATGCCTTTATTTTATTTATCTGAAACTAAATTTGTCATAGTATTTAAGACTCAAATGTTTTGTAAAGGGAATATCCTTAGTAACAGATGAAAACTAGAAATTGAAAAATATATCACTAGTCAAATCTTCATTTTATTTTCTTCCAGCAACCTAATGGAGAGAAAAAGAATGGTATTTTTTACTTTAAAGGGAAGAATGTCTTTTTATTCCCCATTCCCAAGATGAGAATTGACACATAAAATTATTTTTTTAGGTCTTTCTTCATTGATAGAAATATTCTGTTTTCTGATATGAAGAATTATATATAGATACTGATATAATTGGGTCCATTAAAATGATATAAACAGTATTTGACTATAAAATCAGTGAAAATAGCAAATGACTCATTTTTTAACTTGGGTTACCATGCATTCTAAAACAGCAGGCATTTTACAACCTCAGGTATTCACTTTGATAAGTTAGACTTTAGATTCATGTCAGTATTACTCCAGTGGTATCACCTTATACTCTGTTACTTTCCTTTTCCATTTACATATAGTTTAAATTGCTTTGTTAATTATTTTGTTTCCCTCCTTTGTAAAAGTATCCAGCTAAGAAAATATATTTGGAAGGAGAGGGAAAATTTGTGCAATTAAAGGATTACCTGGTCATTGGAAGATGGAGAAAAGTGGGCAGGATTGATTTTAGAGAAATGGCTACCTTTGAAATAAGGAATTTTTCATCATATCCTACCCTCTCCTATTGCACAAATTCCCAGTATACTCTTAAAAATTAATGTAACCTAAAATTGAGACCAGGAACAAACATCAAAGGTTCTGTGGCTTAGAACTTTAGAGAGTAGGAATAATAAAAGGACCTTGTAAAATAAGGCTTTTTCCCATTTTTCACTTTGTCTTATGTTCTTTGAGGATAACAGACAATTTCTAGGTACCCATTCGGCAGTCCTCAAACATAAACTAATATCTTGGCTATTTTTTACCTAGGTCTCCACCTGTCTTTGGAAATAAATGAGAACTATGCTGTCAGTTTGTAGACACTAGTACTTCAGTAGATAAAAACAAAACCAACAGAAATTAGGTTCATTTTGTAATAAAAACCTACAGTCGTTTCGTCACTTTTTTTTCTATAGGTAATGATTATTACCATCCTTTCTTTTACTTATTTTACTAAATTAGAAATCTAGGATAAAGTTAATGAAAGTTTTTCTCATTGTTTTATTTTTGTACCATAAAATTGTTTGTTACTGAAATACAGCTACTGAAATACCAGATGAAAAAACAATTTTGTGTATTTCATTCAGTGATTTTTTTTTTTCTTTTTTGCCAAAAATAAATATAAGAAACTTGAGAATATTGTGATGAGCTGTGTTCCGTAGCAGGGTCCAGGGAGTTTGATTGTACCTTTTGTTCTGTGGTTAATACTGCTTCTGTGTTTCACTTTTATACTTTGCCTTTGACCTGGATTTGGACATGTAACTCAGAAGACAGTGTGTGCTTACCTGGCATTGATCTGCAAAAATAAATAAATAAGAACAGGAAGAAATAGTCACTCCCATGAAAATCCTGGGTTTTAGTAAATCCCACAGTACAGTTTGGTGTTTTAAAGTCTATTCTTTTGTAGAATTTGAAGCGGTTGTGTTACTTGACTAAGTTTCTCACAAATTGTTCCAAAAGTAGAGCTTGGAAATAAATACCTATTTTCTTTATATTTTATCTATTATGACACATTCTTATGACAGTATCAAAGCACAAAAACTTTGGTCTTGGGGATGTAGGTGAGCCCTAGAGTACTTGCCTTGCATGTACAAGGCTCTGGGATCAGTTCCCAAATCAAAAACAAAAATCTGGAAAGTTTAGATCTTGGGACTCAAATGAAGAATCAACAGGTAATTTGTGTTCACTATTTCCCTGTTGTTTAAAGTACATAAATATGAATATCAGAGTTTAAGGAATAATTTTAAAGTAACTGCTTCTATACCAGTATTCAAATTAATAGAGCATACATATAAGAAGCCTCCCTACTACCTCCCTAGCAACAGCCATCTTACACACACACTTTGGCAATTACTACTGTCCTGTTTTGTGTGTTAACTATCACCTTGTTCTTACTGTGTTACCAACTATGTATGTAAATTCAAGCTGTATGGTTTATTTTTCCCTGCTTTTGAACTGTATGTGAAAGAATTATATAATTTGCATCTTCTTCTATTCATATTTTCATTGTAGTCATATTCATTCATCATTGCTGTATAATGTTCCTTTGCGTTAATATGCCAGTTTATTCATCATATTGACTGTGAATATTTGCAGTGTATTTAGTTTGGGATAATTACAGTTCCATAATAAATGTATTTTGTTTCTCTTCTATTGCAAATAAGGCGTCTAGGATTGAAAGTTTGATTGCAAGTTATTCGTATCTTTATATTTTATTAGATAACTATAGACTTTTTCCTAAGCATTAGAAATGTTCAATTTCTTTCACATTGCGATGAGTATTGGTGTTAACTTTTTTTTTTTGGACAGTGTATATACAGTGGTGTGTCATTAAAGTTTTACTCTGTATTCTCGTATTGCCAGTAGGGGAGGGAGCCACCTTTTCACAAATTATTGGCCATTTCAGTCTTTTTTTTTTTCTTTTTTTCGTTTTTTGGTTTTTGAGACAGGGTCTTCCTGAGACCCTCATGGCCTTGATATAACAGAGATCCACCTGCCTCTGCCTCCCAAGTGCTGAGATCAAAGGCATATTCTACCACACCAGGATTAACTTTCTTTTTTGGGAACTGTGTTGTCAGATCTTGTATATAACATTTTTTATGTGTTGGCAGTCCTTTTCCTCATTTAACTCATGAAAGATCATATGTTCTTTATTATCTATACAGTTGTAAATGTCTTCTGTTCTATGATCTGCCTTTCCCTCCTGTGATATTAATTGATAAAAAGAATTTGTTAAAGGTTAGGTACTTGGGAGTATCAGTCTTTTGTTTCACAACTACAGCTGCTTTGTGTGAGTTGTTTAAAATACTCATTCCCAACCCTAGGGTAATAAAGATATTTTTTTGATTGTCTTTTAAAAGTAGCTTTAGTTTCGCCTTTCACACTTGTTTTTAATTCATAGGAATTAATTTTGTACATGATAGCTAATACTTTACCAGTACTTATAAGTCTGGCTTCTTTTCCTAGTACTGATAAGGTGATGTTAGAAAATGTGTTGGTATCTCTGAATAATTTCTTCCTTTCTTTTTCTCTCCCCATGCTATGTCTCCATCATAGCTGATACATTTTTGATATTTGACTAAATTAATCCTTCAAGCTTATTTTTGTTGTTGTTGTTGTTAGAATGTCTTAGTTATTTTAGCCCTTTGTATTTTCGGTACTCAAATTTCTACTTGGAAACCTGCAAACAGGAAAACTCTTAGAGTTTTCCATTTTCTCACCAAAAAAAAATTGGTCTCTTATTTACTTGAAAATGGAAAGCATAATTATTTTATACTCTGTCTAATCATTTCAGAATCTTCTGAATTTGTTTATTCTGTTCTTTATTCTTACTGCCTTGCCTTCTATGTGTCCAATTATCTTTTGGTTGCATGCTAACATTTTACTTAAAAAACTTAAATAATTTGATAGTGTGATGTTTTCATTCCCCACAGAGGTTTTATATTTCTTCAGCCCAGTACCTAGTAGCTTAAAATCATTTTGATCCAGTTTCAGAGACTCAGATTTTCTGGCCTTTCTATGTGATGCAAAGCTGAACTACAGACTGCTAGTTCTCTTGCTTATTGTCTACCCTTACCCTTAAAGTTCAGCCCTTCAAAGTTCCAGAGTGTGGTTTGAGGTTACCAGAGTCCCCACCTCTTGACTGGCCCTAGGCTTTACTTCTGAATCCCCAGCCCTTTAACTCTGCAGCTACTAGGTGTTAATATATAATTTAAGCATTTTTGAGGACTGAGAAGATAGTGCACTCAGTAAAGTGCTTGCTAAGCAAGCATGAAAACCTAACTTTGATCCCTAGAGCCTAGATAAAACAGCTAGACACACAGGTAATGCCAGCCCTGGGGAGGCAGACAGGTGGGTCACTGGGGCTTACTAGTTGGCAAACCAGTTAGAGACACTGTCTCAAAAAACAAGATGTTGACACTTGAGGAATGACAGCTGAGGCTGACCTTTGGCCTCTACACATGTGCACACATGCACACATGATCAAGTACACCAAAAATTTTATTTTCATTAGGATTTCTTCAACTCAAGATTTTTAGTCAAGCCAGGAGTGGTGGCACATGCCTTTAATCCCAGCACTCGGGAGGTGGAGCTCTGTAAGTTCAAGGCCAGCTGGGGCTACAGGGAGACCCTGTCTCAAAAAGACAAAAAAAAAAAAAAGATTTTTAGTCAGTATTTATTTTCTAGACAACATGGCTTTTGTAATAATCTTTTTATTTTTATTTTCTGTTTAATTTTGGTTTAAAAAATGCCCTAGTTTTAATCCTTTGAATTTACTTGACTCACTTTTTAACCTAGATTATGGTAGTCTTTTGAATTTGAAAATAGTACATTCTATAGCTGGGGCAGCATGCTGCACATGTCAGTGACATCAAATCTTTTCGTCTTACTAAATTTTCTATATCTTTACTCATTTTAAATTATTATGTGAATTACCAAAACTGTCATATTAAAAATCACCCATTATATTGATTTGTTCTTTCTCTTAGTGTTATTTCTGTTTTTCCTATCCCAAGGCTAAATTAGTAAGTACATGTAAATCTTCTAACTTTTTTCTGCTAAATTGTATTTTATCACAATGGGTTATATCTTTGTGCCTTAACCTGTAGCCATCTCAGGTTTCTTTTAGTTAATTTTTTTTTTTGACCAACTTTTTTTTTATGTGTATGAGTGGTTTGCCTGAATTTATGTAAATGAATCACGTGTGTGCAGCGCCCACCCACCAAGAGTAGAAGAGGGCATTGGGTCCCTTGGAAGTGGAGTTACCAACGTCTGTTAGCTGCCTTGTGGGTGCTGGGAACTGAACCTGGGTCCTCTGCAAGAGCAGCCAGGGCTCTTAACCACTGAGCCATCTCTCCAGCCCTTGATTAATATTTTTATGGAATAATTTTTCTATCCATATACTTTGAATCTTTCCGTATCCTTTTAGATGTTTGCTTAGTAAATACCACAAATCTTGGATTTGGGAGTGGGGAGGTGTTTATCTAGCAGTTTTTATCTTAACACTGGAAAACTTAAGTCGTTTGCATTTAAAACAATTATCATTCTATTATATTTATGTTGTTTTGTTGGGGTTTTTATCTGCTCTGTTCTTTTTTGATACTTTCCTGTTTTTGTGTGTTTGTTGATTGAATTTGTGCCAGTTGTTAACGAGTGTCTCTCACTCTATCCCCAGTCCTATTGTATGCTGGAATTTTTCTGTATGCCTAGCACCTTGCAGACTGTGTTTCTGCTTTGTCATTTGGCTTCCTTGTAGGTTCTACAAATAGGGAGCAAGAAAGAGACTGAAATGCTTGGAAGAAGTAAGAAGCAGCATTTTTGCCTTCCCACTTGCCTTCCAATACTGTAAACATCACCCTAGCATCTCTCCTCAGCTTCTAGGTTATATTTCCCTTTTTTTTTAGTAGTTGTGTCTTATGTGAACACTTCCATTTCTCCAAGATTATCATTACCAATTTGTATGTTAGTTTTTTATGAAAATAAAGTATGTAGTGTCTTGTTTTTCGATGCAGTTTTTTCTTTCTCTTGACTAGTGTCTTTTATATTAAATTCTGTATATTCACACCAAAGAAAACTGACATTATTCATTACCTTTACCTTTTGACAGATGACATATTTCAAAAATGGCTGTATTTTCAGAACATCTACTTTGTAGAAGTTTGCCACCCTCCAGCCCCATTTAAGACTTCCATGGTGGTTGGGTCATAGCACCTCCACCTGGCACATGGATCTCTCTCTCTCTCTCTCTCTCTCTCTCTCTCTCTCTCTCTCTCTCTCTTTTTCTCACATTTTAAAAAAAACAATATATTTGGGGGTACTGCTTATATTGAGATCTCTCTCCCTCTCCCCTCTCCCCTCTCCCCTCTTCTCTCTGTTGTATACTGTTTCTTTTACCCTAACCCAGTTTGTGTAGAAGCTCAGAAAAAGTGGAAAAAGTGAGATTGCCAGCCCTACAAGCAGCCCCAGGTATCACACATATAGTAAGCAGTCTTTTTAAATGAGTCTAGGCCTAGCCTTCATAGAACAGAGACTAGCCACTCGTTCCTGTGCTGACCTACCAAATCATGAATGTAACATTGGTACATTTTGAAGTTCTTTATTATACATACATTACCTTTATGAAGCCCAAGTTACATATCACACATATCTGTTATATAGTTTCTGTTATATACTTCACTGTCTCAATTCTATAAGACAGAATATTTGTATTTTTATATGTATACACACATATACATCACTTTCTTGGCTCCTTGCTCTTTTCTGTGTCTAAAGCTCACTGCTATGATCTGGACATGCCTGTCTCCACAAAGTTCCTCTGTTGCAATCCTCACCTCCAGATGATGGCATTGGAGGTTTGGGGCCTTTGGGAGTTTACTGGACTATGGAAGCAGAGTTCTTATTCTAAGAGTCTTCAGAGACCATCCACCCTGCCACATAAGGACACACTGAAAAATCACCATCTTTTGTTCAGAAATTGGGCCTTACCAAATATCAAATCAGCACCTTAATTGTGGACCCTCTCAACTTCTAGAACTGCCAGAAATAAAGTTCTGTTGCTTATTAGAAACCCACTCACTCCAGCTTTATTTTTTGCCAGTCTCTTAATGGCTTCAATCGTTGTTGAAATAACTATGGAGCTTTCTATTTCTCCCAACTAAAAAATATTCATAGCCTTTTAGTGAGCTTTTCTTGGCTAGGCCCTGGGCTTAGATATCTGTTTCTTGATCCATTCCTTTTCACTTCATTGCAGCCAATTCTGTTGTCTCACCAACTTGAAAAGTCTAATTTTTTTTTAATTTTGTGTGTTTTATCTGCATGTATATGTCTTGCATATACCTGTGAATGTAATGCCCACAGAGGCCAGAGGAGGGTGTCAGATCCCTAAAACTGCAGTTAGTGATGATTGTTAGCTGCCACACATGGGTGCTGGGAACCAAATCCAGGTCCTGCAAGAGCAGTCAGTGCACTTAACCACTGAGCCATCTCTCCAGCTTTCTCCTGAAAACTCGTATTTTTTTTAATATTTTTTTTTATTTTATATGTATGTGTATATTGCCTGCATAGGCAGTTGTTAGCTGTCATGTGGGTGCTGGGATTCAAACCCAGGTCTTCTGCAAGAACAGCCCATGTTCTTAACCACTGAGCCATCTCTCCATCCCCCAAAACTCGTAATTTTTAAGAACTTTTAAGCACTATATTTTTCTACAGGAAGAATTCATGTAATGGTTTGAGATGTTGAGATGCACCTACATACTACATACACTTAGGCAAAACATGCATACACATAAAATAAAAATAAATGAAAAATGTTTTCAAAAAGAAAGTTCAGGGACTAGAGAGATGGCTCAGCGTTTAGGAGCACTGGCTTCTCTTGCAGAGGATCTGGGTTCGATTCCTGGCACACACATGTCGGCTAACCATCTATAATTCCATTTCCGGGGTATTCCTACACTCTCTGCTGACAACTCTGCAAGCATTACACAACACAGGTCCCCTAACATATAAAATAAAGATAAAATAGTTTTAAAATAGTTCAGTCTCGTTATCTATATTTGTGAGATGAGCTAACACTGTGTGCAGTAAAATTATGTAAATAATGCTCATAATGCTCAGTCTTTATGTGCCGGCTCTTATCCAAGAATCCTCATTAATACTGCCTCTCAATTTAAAAGACAGTCTTCCTTGATTTGGTGTATACTCCTACAGAGATAATTTGTCATAACTTCACAGTATATGTTAGTGATTCCATGTGTAGCAACTTGTGGCACATACTAAAAAGGCAAATCTGTGAGCCAATCCACAGAAGTTAATTCAGTAAGTCTAAGGGAAGTTTATAGCCTTGTATTTTCAGGTATCCCTGATCATTAAATTAGTTCTCTCTCTCTCTCTCTCTCTCTCTCTCTCTCTCTCTCTCTCTCTCTCTCACACACACACACACACA